GGTGTGACTACTCCACAGAGCCTTACCTCTGACAGTGGGCACTGAAGGTGTGACTACTCCACAGAGTCCTGCCAAGAGCAGTGGGCACTCTTGGTGTGACTACTCCACAGACAGTGAAGAGTAATTCTGCACCACTCGCTGCCGCCCACTCCCCACTCCCACCACTTGGTATCTTGGAGGAACCATGTCTTCTTTGCATCCATTCACTGTAGCATTAGACAAAGATGGCCGCCATCCCACAGCCATGAGTCTCTGATCTCTTTGGTGGCACTCACAACTCCTTGAGAATGCTGGAAAGACCATCTGTTTCCAGGTGTCAGAAAGTAGACAGATGTTATAGAGCTGTTTCCCTTGCCTGCTTTTGGACTCTTCCCAAAGCCTGGACTTCTGTGAGCCACATGGGATAAAATGTGGAGGCTGGCATCAGTGTGCTGTTAGGCCACACATAAATGGTGGTTATTGGTGTCACAGAGACAAGAAAGGGCACTGGGGAGTCTTGTCCTCACAAAAAGTACAGGGACAGCATAAGATACCCTAAAGGGGGTGACAGAATGCACACTGAGGACCTGGGTGACTTGTAGATACAGGGATGTCTACCATGCACAAGTCACTTGGGCCAGGCTGAAACCACACTTCTGAACAATCAGGTCCAGGGAGGACCTGAAAGCATCCCCAAGTGACAGCCATTCCATTGTCTACTCTGAGAAGCTCAGCCATGGGTTGTCTCTGAACAAGTAAACAGCAAGAACTCCGGGGATATTAGAGATAAGCAGATGTCCCACCCTGCCCTAAGGATTGCCCGGCTTATACAACTCAGTTCAGTGGGCTAAGAGATAGTCCCCCCTCAGTGATCAGCTGAGACTACCTCAAACTGGAGTCCACGAGACCCAAGGGGAAGGAACTTGAGCTCTAGGCACTGTGTCAGAAGCGAGAATGTGGACCCCCAGAGTTTGCTAGGGCTGACCAATTGTGTGCCTCCATTACTGTGCTCACTTTCCCAACACAACCCCAGAACACATGGTGTTCTGAATGTGCCATCCCAGTGACCTAGAATTCCCACCTGAGGATGACCCCCTGTGCCAGCGGAACAACCCAGATCCCTATCCTGCTTCCTTCTTCCTCCACCTCTTCCTCCCTGCCTTATCTCCCTCTTCTCCTCCCCCCACCCCCTTCTCTCTCTCCCTCACCAAGCCTGTGAATATTATCCCCAGTGGCCTATTGAAACAATGGCCAAGGCATAAGCATTTCCTCAAAGTCGTAAATGAAGTGAAAGTTATTCACTTTGTCAATGCACAGGGGCAACTGCAAGTGACAGATCTTGTCCCTGCCACATGAGGGCTGTGCTAGGCCAAGGTTTCTCCAGCTTTGCTGAAATTGTTCTCACTTCTCCTCCTCAGCCAGAAGACATTGGACAAGCACCCATCGTGAACGCCCCAGAAGGTGGCAAGGTTGACCTGGAAGCCTTCAGCCATTTTACAAAAATCATCACACCAGCAATCACCAGAGTGGTGGATTTTGCCAAAAAGTTGCCCATGTTTTGTGAGGTGAGGAAATGGCTCTTCCTTCTGGGCCGCTTTTCACAATAGTTCCATTGATTACCAAGAGTGCAGGATATCGTTCAACAGTAATCAGCAGAACTTCATGGTAGGAAAGCAGAGTCCACGTAAAATAAGAATGCCTGCCGGGCTACAGCTCAGTGGAGAGCATTTGCCTTGGATGCGTGACCTAGGATCTATCCCCAGTTCTGTCAAAAGAAAAGAAAGGCTGGGCCTCCAATTGTGCCTTCAGCCATCACTGAGAGAGAGACAAAATTAGCTTATCGAGTAGGTTGCCAAGGTTTGAACTTAATCTATGCCCCTTCTACAGAATATTCCAGAGAGATGGCTGTGCAGTTGATCTTAATCCAGAAGAACTGAAGTCAAATGGCCCTCATGGCACAAGACTCTCATTGTCTCTGTAGAGCCTCCCTCTTTCCTACCAGTGCATTCCCTTGCCCTCTCCGGAGCATGAAAACTCACTTCCCAGAGCCATGCTTCCCCTCAGGGACACTCCCTCCCTCTCTTAGCACATCTCTGCCTCACCTCAGCTCACTTCCTGCCTCATTTTGACAGCCCCATCTTGCAGCAGGTGAGAACAAAGCCAGGTGTGGGCCAGAATCCTAAGCATGTGCGTTGCCATCTTCTGGCCTGGGTCATATCAGCCTTAAAATGAGACTTGCAGACTTGTCCTAAATATCTCTTAGGACATGTGGGACGTTCGGGTCAGGCCACACATATAAAAGCGTTGTCCCTCTGCCCTGCCTGAGTGACAAGCACTGAACATGTTTCAGCTAACAATGCTGCTATTTCTTCTCTCTGTCTCTCTGGAACTTGCCGAGTGGGCTAGGCTAACCAAACAGCCAGCTTCGGCTGTCTGTCTGTCTCTTCCTCCCCTGCCCTAGGATTACAAGTGGGTGCCACCATGCCTGGCTTTGAAAAGTAAAACACGTGGGTTCTGGGAATGGAGCTCAGGTTCAAGCACCACGTACAGGCTGTACTGTCTCCCCTTCTCAATTTCATCAGGACATCCCCATCCTGCCTCTGGCTTTCCGAACCCTGTAGGGGTGATTGTGTCTCCTGGAGAACTTCTCTCTTTGTGAAATTCTGTTGCTCTCACACCTTCAAGGAGGCCCAGAAAGTTAGCATGTGGAGACATCACAGACAGCAGTGACCTCTTCTGCAAGCTTTGGGGGTGACTGCAGGTTCTGCCTCAGCTGAGAGATCCAAGCCCCCCTGTCTAGGATGACCATCCGCTGCCTTAACGTCCCGCTCATCCTGGTTGTGAGTTCGCAGTAAGGACAACCCAGCTGGAGTGAGAGTGACCTCAGATAACGGGTGGGGAAATTTCTTATTGCCTGTTTTTGAGTGTCCATCGAAGCCGGACCCAGAAGGACAGAGCCTAAGGTGGCCTAAGGATAGGGACTAAGACAGAGAAAGCATTTGCCTCCTAATGACCTTTGACATTTTTGAAGTAACATTTATGAACGTTCTAGAGGATGGACAGAAATAGTACCTGTTCTAGCTTCCTTTCAATTGCTCTGATGAACATGGTCAAAAGAAACTTGGGGGAAGAAATGGATTATTTGACGTACACTTCTAGGTCACAGTTCATCACTGAGGAAAGCCAGGGCAGGAACTTGAAGCCAGGAACTGTGAAGGACACTGCTTACTGTTTCACTCACGGGCTCATACTTAACTAGTTTTTATATAAGGCCAATATCACCTGCCTAGAGAATGGTGCTGCCCACAGTGGGCTGGGCCCTCCTCTATCAGTTAACAATCAAAACCGTCCCTCACAGACATGCCCACCTGATAAGGGTGGATACTCAGTTGAATCTCTTTTCAGGTGACTCTAGGCTGTATCACCCTTACAGTTAAAGTTAACAGTGCTAATCCATAGCCACAAAATAGCACTGCCCATAGTTAGGAACAAATGTTTATCTGCTTTACACACATTTACACATGCATGCATACATGCATATATATATGAAATGTAAAATTTGCTAATAACCAAGACCTACTTTTGACTTATTAAAACTGCTCTTTAACATTTTATAAGAGAAATGGACCCAGCTATAAGGATGCATCTCATGAACAAAATGAACTCCATAATAAGCACTAAGAATTAGAAACGCTGTGACCTGCGCAGCCCAGGATATCAGGTTATTCTCAATGGTAGGATATCATTTACAAATCCTTTTACAAGGTGACTTTGATGGTCACATGGCATTCCAAAAATCTGCTCCACCATCATTTGGGCTCATTCTTATTAGACCTGCCATCCATTTCCATTTTTCCACTAATAAAACAGGCCACGATGAACATTCTGATGACCACACCCTGTCCGTGGTGCTCATTCCTAAGGGCAAGTCCCAGGCATGCAGCTGAAGGACCAGAGAGTTCTTTCACCTCCTGAGGTCTTCAGCGTGTGCCTGTCCTCCAGGAACCGTCTCCCGTTGCTCTCACTGACTCTGCCACTGCCTTCTCATTTGCTGGCCTGGTTCTCTGTTCTTGGCTCCTCTCCCTCCCTCTCTCCCTCTCCCTCTCCCTCTCCCTCTCCCTCTCCCTCTCCCTCTCTCTCTCTCCCCCACCACCACCATGTGTGGGAGAGAATGTGTGTGCGTGTGTTGGGGGGAGGGGAGTGTTGGCTACAGCTCATAGAGGCTAAAGGAATTTTGTTGAGGTCAAGTTTGCCACTTTGGGGCTAGTGGGATGGCTTAATGGTCGGTTAATAGCACTGGTGGCTCTTCCAGGGGCCCCAGGTTCAATTCCTAGCACCCATATGGCAGCTCACAACTTCTGTAACTCCAGGTCCATGTGATCCAACACCCTCACACAGACACACATGCAGGCAACATACCAATGCACATAAAATAAAAATAAAAAATTAAGTTAGCCGCCTCAAGCTAGCTTGCCAGTCACATAGCAAGTGCTCTTCCAATGACCACCAGAAATTTTAATGTTAAATTCTTTTTTCCAGAGCTGAGGACCGAACCCAGGGCCTTGTGCTTGCTAGGCAAGCACTCTACCACTGAGCTAAATCCCTAACCCCAAAAAAGTGCTATTTTTTTAAAGATTTGTTTTTTATTTATTTATTTATTTATTATATAGTATTCTGCCTGCATGTGTCCCTGCAGGCCAGAAGAGGGCACCGGATTCCATTACAAGTGGTTGTGAGCCACCATGTGGTTGCTGGGAATTGAACTCAGGACCTCTGGAAGAGCAGTCAGTGCTCTTAACCACTGAGCCATCTCTCCAGCCCTTAATGTTAAATTTTTAATATAAAATTTGTATAAATCACTGAAGAGATATTCGAGATAATTTATGAAGAAGGAAAGGAAGAATCTACCTCCACCCACAGCAACCAGCATGCACTTAACTCAATGCTGTGGGTAAAAAGCTGCTTGGAACTTTCCAAGCCAGGACTACAGCTAGCTTACTCTTCCAAGTTCCTGTCAGAAACATAAAACATAATTCCCCATCAGGATTCCATCTCTTTCAATGCTGGTATTGAAATTTCATCTCAAATTTTCAAAAAGAAAGAAAGAAAGAAAGAAAGAAAGAAAGAAAGAAAGAAAGAAAGAAAGAAAGAAAGAAAGAAAGAAAGAAAGAAAGAAAGAGA